TTTTTTTTTCAAATTCGACGTAATATCAAATTGATTTAGCTGATCTGGTTGTCGATCGTGCTCTCGAATTGCGATACATTGGTGGTATTTATGCTGGTAATGTAAAACCGACACCGTTTTTGTGTCTTTCTCTTAAAATGTTGCAAATTCAACCTGAAAAGGACATCATCATCGAATTTATTCAACAGGAGCAAAGCAAGTAGGTTGATAGTCCTTTCGGATTGCGTTAAAAGTTGGCACTCATAGTATTTTTTTTTTGCAGATATGCGCGAGCACTAGGTGCCATGTACCTTCGGCTTACTTTCCCGTCTGTAGAGATATATAAATACTTGGAGCCCTTATTCAACGATTATCGCAAACTTCGCTATATGAATAAACAAGGAAGTATGAAGATTCATATTTTGCTTTTGTACACTTGAAATAGATCAAAAGTATGTCCTAGGATTTGAATTGATTTATATGGACGAATTCATTGACAATCTTCTCAGAGAGGAGCGATATTGTGATATACAATTACCACGGTTGCAGGTGAATGCTCTTCATTGTTGTTTATTGGATTTCATATATATATTATGTAGAACTTGTTTTATTTGTCATAGTTTTAAAGAAACGACAAGCACTTGAAGAAGTTGGCGAACTGGAGCCATATCGGAGTCTCCTAGATGAAGATCTTGATGCTCTGAGTGCTTCAGATAGCGAAGATGAAAGGGAGAAAAAGGAGAAAAGGAAGGTTGGCAGCATCAAAATTCTTACGTACAAAGTTCTTGTCATTGCTTTGCAAAAACGGATTTGTTCTAGGAGAAACCGCGGCTCATCTCAAGAAGACGAAGTCGGAGCAGAGATCGCTCGAGAGAACGCGATAGAACACGAGAAAAGGGAAAGGAAAGAGATCGAGATGACAGGAAGCGAGATCGGTCGAGAGAAAGGGACAGAGATCGTGAGAGAGAAAGAGATCGGGACCGCCACGACAAAGATCGCGACCGACACAGAGAGAGATCACGAGAACGTGATAAGGACAGAGATAGAGACAGACGTGGTGAGACTTTCTTCATCACAGTATCTCTCCTATATATTCTATCTTATCCTCTTCTCTCCTTTTTTCGAACATCGTCTATATTGTACATGATTGCGACTATCTTGAGCATAATTCCGAAAAACCTTATCTGGGTATAACTTATATGATGTTAGAAAGTCGTACCTTACTTTACAATTAAGTGAGTGCAAACCTTTGGTTCTTCGACCCTGTACAATAGGTGTGGAGACACTAAAAGCTCGGTTTAAGTTATCAACTGAGAATCTGCTCAGCAATCACTCAAGGATGCATCAAGTTCTGTAAATTGCTAAATTGTGGTCGTTGCACAGTTGGTTAATGTTTGCGTTCCCCCCCTCCCCTCCCACTTCGAAAAATTTTACTGTCCTCTCTTGTGGGGCGTTTATTTCTGCGCTAGATTT